GAGATATCGTTTTCATCACGAGCGATGGAATTTCAGACAATTTCGATCCCGTCGTTGGAAAATTTGCAGTGAGTTTTACCCCCCACAACGTCCAGTGTGACAACCGTGTGTAAATCTTCGTCAATCACTCAAATTATTTGTCTTAGGTTTTGCCATCAACGAAACCCGACATAATGACCCGTAATCTTCCCGTGGTTCAAGCCGTTCAAAGACACGAACTCACGCTTCTACGTTTGGAGGATCTTTTAAGGAACAATGTTTCCGGGGATGGACCCGTTTGCACGTTGGCCAGTGATTTGTGCTCCAGATTGTTGGATTTTGCAATCAGGTATAAAATGTTGCCCTCTTTTTTTTTATCGAATCGCACTTTGGGGAATTTAAAAAAAAAAACATGTCGGATTTTCTTTTTTAGACTAACTTCGGCAAAGAGAAAAATATTAGAAGACGTCGAGTTGTATTACACGGAAGAAAACGGGGCGGTCGTGGAATTGTCGAAAACGGAACAACGAATCAGACGGAAAAACACGTACGAAAAATTAGTTTTAGTGCCTGGAAAATTGGATCACGCCAGCGTGGTCGCTTACAACGTGGGTCGATACACGAAAGATGAAAATGAAAAAGATGTCGGATTGACGAATCCGGATGATGAAAGTTCGTCGTTGGAAGCCTCGAGTTCGACGTGCGAACTCGAATTTAAAAATACGGAAATGAAAGATGGACAAACAACGGAAGATGATATGAAGAAGAGTAATGAAAATGGTGGAAATAAAAGACTTTCGATATACGATAATACTAATGATGATGATGATGATGTTGATGATGAATCCGAAGGAAAAATGAATGATTTATTCGAAACCGTAATGTGAAGGGGAAAAAATATCGCGGAGGGTTAGGGAGGAGGGAGGGGTGGGGGCGGGACGGGGGGGGCAAGGAAAAAGATTCTTTTTCTCTCTCTAAATTTGATTTATTATTATTATTATTATTATTAATGTAAATCGTTTTTTAAATGCCGGAAAGTATTTTTTATTTAAATTTATACGAGTTGATAAATGGAGAGAAGAGGAGAAAATGGTTGCAATATCAGTAGCATAAATAATAATAATCATCACCCCGAACCAACCGAGCAGCCTTAACAAAAAAAAAAAAACGCCATTTTTTTTTTTTTTTTTTAAATGAATTTTAGATTTTAAAATTAGCCAAACGAACACGAAGCAAAAGGAGAAGCAGAAGAAATTATTTTTTCAATTAGTTTTTTTTTTTTT